GGTCAACAGTAGGGTTGCTTGGTCTACAGTAGGGCTGCTAGGTCAACAACAGGGCTGTTATGCCAACACTAGTGCTGCTATGTCAACACTAGGGCGGCTATGTCAACACTGGGGCTACTAGGTCACCAGTAGGGTTGCTTGGTCCACAGTAGAGCTGCTAGGTCAACAACAGGGCTGTGAGGTCAACAGTAGGGCAGTTAGGTTAACAGTAGGGCTGCTGGATCAACCGTAGGGTTATTTATTCAACAGCTAGGCTGCTAAGTCAACAGTAGGGCAGTTAGGTCAACGGTATGGCTGCTAGGCCAACACTAGGGCTCCTAGGTCAAGAACAGGGATGTGAGGTCAGCAGTTATGTCAACAGCAGGGCTGGTAGGTCAACACTAGGGCTCCTAGGTCAAGAACAGGGATGTGAGGTCAGCAGTTATGTCAACAGCAGGGCTGGTAGGTCAACACTGGGGCTGGTAGGTCATGCCTACAATAACATAAACCACCACATCCGATACCTCTCAAGGCCTACCTAACAACGACACATTCGATCAAAATTCAAAACGGCGATTCCGTTGTGTGTGTTGGGAGGGGTGTTAAACAACGATTCGGGGAATTCGAGACGAAACCTAGGTGCGGTTCCACTATGCGCAACATATACCCGTGACACGATACACGCAAGTTTAAGTAAACATTGTAAGCGCCCACGTCGATTACCAGTAGAACACGGTGGGTCACATGTTCTCCACACCCGCCGTTTTTTGGCCAAAGCGCGAGGACCGACGACGCATTGCTCGCTGCTGCTGACACTACTTCCACTCCACCTACTGACTTCACCTACACTTTTATAAGTGTATCGCCTATACACCTATCACTCTACTCGCATCGCGAAATGCACATTCGCTCTTGCGTAGTTTTTCAAAGTAATAAATGTGTGTTTTCAGACGAAAAACTCCCTTTCCAGTGTGATTCACATTATGAAATTTCAAGGTGCAAATATTCTTTCTGAAAGACACTATTTTTGAAATGCGTCGTGTTACCATACATTATTTGTGTCCGAGTCTTGAGTGTTTCCTACTATGCTGCTTTGCTGTGGAATAATTTAGAATATGTAAGGCGTGACAAACGGCACGATGTAAAGAAGGACCATGTGATTCAATACAAAATCGATATATACAGTATAAGACTCTCTGATTAAATCACCAGCCCACCATGTCAATGTACATAAAACATTCCCCTGCTGTTTCCGCTAACAGTAGCAGTGCTTCGACCACCTACACTTCCACTCTATCACCACCTCCATCCTGTTAAAACTTTAATACTCACTGGTTTCCATTCATTCGCTTGCACACGGCAAATAATACTGTAGTATGGGTCTCCTGGAACAGTCAGGCCATTTCCTTCTAAAGTCTAACGCAAGCCCTTGGTATGGAGGCCTGATACCCACCACAATATCAATTATCAAACACAGTTTTGTACAAATTTCCTCAAAGTGGACCTCTTCACTCTGACCTTCAGAAAGTATTCAGAGGTTTCCGAGTGGACAACTATTGGGGGAGGACAACTATGCCTAGCAAAAACTAATTGGTTCTTCCAGTCAAATGACTGAAATTTCCACACTCAATTAGCATTGTTCGCTTGATTGTTCGCTTGGACGCATTGTATTTTTTTCTCAGCTCGCAGCTCGCATAGAGGCATGTCCAAGAACTGATCGATCAAACGTCGCGTGAACGCTCTCTTCAACGACGCTCCGTGTCCAAGCGAACAATCAAGAACAATGCGAATTGAGTGTGGAAATTTACACAGCCACTCCGCACACGCTGTTCAATCTTCCACACGTGGAAGAAATTATCAAACACGTGTGATATTTTCCACACGACGCAGATCGAGGTATTTTGCATACGCACACGCTGTGGAACTTGCTGCGCCATCATCCACGTGGCCACCATCACGGCTGGGAAACTTAAAGCCACGCAAAATCACGTGTTTACACAACCTAGGACACCATCACTGATGGATTGCGAGCAGAAGACTCCGTGCCCCGTTCCTGAGCCGTGTCGAATCCCATCCCAGATTAGGAGTAGGATCAATCAGTAGGGCTACTGGGCCAAACGTACAGCTGTGAGACCAACAGTAATTAAGGCTGCTAGGTCAACACTCACTCAACAGTAGGGTTGCTTGGTCCATAGTAGGGCTGCTAGGTCAACAACAGGGCTGTGAGGTCAACAACAGGGCTGCTATGCCAACACTAGGGCTGCTATGTCAACACTAGGGCTGCTAGGCCCACAGTAGGGCTGCTAGGTCAACAACAGGGCTGTGAGGTCAACAGTAGGGCAGTTAGGTCAACAGTAGGGTTGCTAGGTCAACAGTAGGGCTGCTGGATCAACCGTAGGGTTATTGATTCAACAGCTAGGCTGCTAAGTCAACAGTATGGCTGCAAGGCCAACACTAGGGCTACTAGGTCAAGAACAGGGCTGTGAGGTCAGCAGTTATGTCAATGGTATGGCTGCTATGCCTACACTAGGGCTCCTAGGTCAAGAACAGGGCTGTGAGGTCAGCAGTTATGTCAACAGCAGGGCTGATAGGTCTGGCTGCCTAGCATCACGAAATGCACATTCGCTCAAGATTGCGTAATTTTTCAAAGTAGTAAATGGGGGTTTTCAGACCAAAAACTCCCTTTCCAGTGAGATTCACATTTATGAAATTTCATGGTGCAAACATTCTTTCTGAAAGGCATTATTTTTTAAATGCGTCATGTTACCATACATTATTTGTGTCCGAGTCTTGAGGGTTTCCTACTATGATGCTTTGCTGCGGAATAATTTAGAATATGTAAGGCATGACAAACGGCACGATGTAAGGAAGGACCATGTGATTCAATACAAATGCGATATATATTATATATGCGATATTCAATGCGATATTCAATACATATGCGTATATATACAGTATAATACTATCTGATGAAATCACCAGCCCACCATGTCATTGTACATAAAACATTCCCCTGCTGTTTCCGCTAACAGCTTACTTAGCAGTGCTCCGACCACCTACACTTCCACTCTATCACCACCTCCATCCTGTTAACTTTAATACTCACTGGTTTCCATTCATTCGCTTGCACACGGCAAATAATACTGTAGTATGGGTCTACTGGAATAGTCGGGCCATTTCCTTCTAAAGTCTAACGCAAGCCCTTGGTATGGGGGCCTCATACCCACAACAATATCAATTATCAAACACGGGTTTGGTACAAATTTCCTCAAAGTGGACCTCTTCACTCTGACCTTCAGAACGTATTCAGAGGTTTTATAGAGTTATTTCCGAGTGGACAACTATGCCTAGCAAAAACTAATTGGTTCTTCCAGTCAAATGGCCTTTGTGTCACTGATGCCAACAGTATGCGAAGATCAGTCATGCCTAACAAAATCTGAATGGTCTATTATATTTCAGTAAATGGATGGGTAGATGGCTGCATGGATGGCTGACTGGATGTGTGGGTGGTTAAATGAATGGATGAATAGGAATGTGGATTGATGGATGGACAGATGGACGGATGGATAGATGGGTGGGTGGATGGATGGACAGACGGACGGATGGATAGATGGGACAGATAGATGGACTGACATATATAGGGCCATAACGCAAAGACGGCCCTTCACTAGAAACCCATACCATATGGTCCCTCACGACGTCCCCACAACACAGAGACCTCTCCACGACTCCCACAACCCCCACAGAACTCCCAACAACCCTCACAGACCTCCACACGATCTACAGACCTCCACACGAACTACAGACCTCCGCACAATCGCCACACACCTCTGCACAACCCCAACAGACCTCCCTACAACCCCAACAGACATGCCCAGAACCCTCACAGACCTCCCCACAACGTCCACAAACCCCCCTGCAATCCACAGACCTCCCCGCAACCCCCACAGACCTCACCATAAACCCCATAGATCTCCCTACAACCTCCACACAATCCACAAACCTCCCCACAATCCCCCCAGACCTCCCCACGACCCCCACAGACCTCCCCACAACCTTCACAGACCTCCCCACATCCTTCACAGAACTCCCTACAACCCCCCACAGACCTCCCCACAACCTCCACAGAACTCCCTACAACCCCCACAGACCGCCCCACAACCCCCACAGACCTCCCCACAATCCACATACCTCCCTACCATCCATAAACCTCCCCAGGACCTTGCTACGACCTCACCACGCCCTCCCTGCGACCCAACACCCCGCCCCCCGCGGCCACCCCGCGACTCACCGAACTCGACGAACTCGGAGACGCTTTTCTCGCGGCGCAGCGTCGACCCGCAGCACTCGTCGTGTAGCACGACGAGCACATCGAGCAGCGTCTCGAGGCTGAGCGCCTCGCCGTTGCTCAGCTGCGGCCCCGCGAGCCACAGATGCTCCAGCTTGCGGAGCCGCACCTCGGCCGACATCGACCCCATCGCGAACCTCACGCAGAAATCTCCCGGGCTTCTTTCGAGCACGCGCTAGCAGCGTTCTCTTACGACGGGCGGCGTTATGTGGTGGCGGGCGTTCGCCGATCGGACATCGTCCGGCGATTCCGCCCTCGCTCGCGCTAGCGTCCTCTTGTCGTCCGCGGGACGGCGTTATGTGGTGGCGGGCGCTCGCCGATCGGGCATCGTCCGGCAGTAACCCCTCGCTCGCGCTAGCGTTCTCTTGTCGTCGGCGTTACGTGGCGGAGCTATCGTTGGGTAGCGTTCTGTGATCGTGCATCGTCCGGCGGTTGCTGCGGCGAGAGCACGGTGGCTGCGGAGGATGAAAACGAGAGCGGTGAACGAGAACAACAACGTTGTTATCTTTATGATTGTTGATCATTAGACAAACAACAGCTTTATTATATTACAGCGTTGTTATATTTTTGATTGTTGATCGTTAGCGACGAAAATTAATGACAAACAGCTCTACAAATACGGACGCGAGTCGTCCACCCTCGCCGGCATATTCTGCCGAGCACAACGCCGCGGGGATGGCGTGGAAAGTAAACACAACAAAATGTGACGGCTGCGAATGACTTTGATCATTCTGATTGCATCAATACTTAAAATAATCGTGTTATCCGTCAACTCATAACCCTTATTACGACTAACGGCTCCTACTGCAATGACGTAGCTTTCTGTTCATGCATGATCTAACATCCTGCCAATGTTGATGAAATCAACAACTGATTAATGACCTTGGTACAGTCAGACATGCAGATTTAATCCTAGGTTAATCATTTGCAGTGTAATCAGGTTCATTTTCAGGCCCACCCAGCATATCATCGGAGCCAATCGTACTTTAGGCCCCAGGCCGATTTGTAATAAGGACTTAGAATTAAGTTAGGATTAGAGTGCTGATCAATGATCACGATTTACGTACAAAGGTAACCGAACCGACATGGAGTAGTACTGTAGAGCGGGGTTCCATAGACTATTCAGGCCTGCACTTCACACATCTATTACTCCACTACTAGACCAGGACCGCCTAGAGTTCCGGGGACCCGAGAACAGCAACCACCTAATTACTATTCTCATACATTTCGATCTGACTATGCCGACCATCCCAGCACACATTTTTCGAGCGACAACCACATGTCTGATTTACAATGTAAAAGATTAATTGACAAAATTCCCCCAGAGCAACCTAAAACAATCAACTGTAGAAAGAGAACAGAACTTAACTCACAGTCTCAATACCATCCAACAATACAGTCACAACCGACAACTCAAAATTCCAGGACGCATCAACGATTGTGACATCTCCAATCTCCATGCAACAACATGGGTCGCACATTGTTCACAACCAAGACTATGACCAGTACGGCCACAGTATACCCTACATCCCGCAGTGCTAGGGGTTCAGAATAGTACTAGTTAATGTTTTAGGTAATGCTGATTTTCGGCGATACTGAACTCCTATGGCACAAGCGTAGTACGCAGAGATCGCCCTCCATTTTTACCAAATTACCTATAGGGGGATTAGGCCTTGAGCAGCATTACACATCACACCCATGGTCCTGTTATGTTATGTTATGTTCTCGTACTTGTCCGTGTCCAATGCACTGGATATAGTGACAAGGTAGTAAGTGCCTTCAGGGATAACCCAATATACAAACAACAGGTGCATAATAATGAGTGTGATGCTAATAGGTGTCTTTCTTAAAGTGGGTTTGCGTGCATGTGAGAGTGAAGCCTCGACTTGAAAGTGTCAACATCAGTTGTTTCTACAACACCCATAGGTAGGTTGTTCCAGATTGGAATCATCCAGGGGAAAAAGAGAACTTAAATACGTTGTTGTTGCAGTACAAGTGCCGAAATTTGTGTTTTTTTCCGATCTGGTACCTGACACCCCAGGTGTCAGATATCTATTCGCCAGTAGTGCTATGAGGTGGTTTACAACCTTATAAGTTATACATCACGACACTCGAGTTGAAGCGTCTACGATACATAAGTTGCTGCCACCCAAGTTGCTCCTTAAAAGCTGACGTGCCATAGGTGTTGGTAACAAATCTTGCAGATCTGTTTTGTATCATTTCTAGCTTGTGTTTATATTTCACTTGGTCTGGGTCCCACACTGAGTGATGAGCAGTAATCCAGGCTTGGTAGTTCATAAGTTTTGTAAACTGTCCTAACCCTCTACGGCTCTACCCGAATGAGGCAACCCTAAGCTACCTCATCTCACCTCGATCATGCAGGTATGAGATTCTGTACATACACGATAGGGGTATGAGGGTAGTTCAGGCCCTAAGTACTTGATCTGTGGAACCATCTAGTACTGGTAAATTTTAGATTTCGTCTATGCACATGACGTCATAGGGTACTACAGTGCATTTGCAGATATCACGATTTGACATGGGACTCTCTCGGCATTTTCTTACAACTTCAGTAAAGGATAAATATGCAGTTAAACGGCAGTGTTCATGCCTCTGTATAACTTCACAACGCAGTATTACTGATAACATGCAATGACGCATTATATAGTCCGTCTGTTCACAGGGAGTCTATGTATAATGCAGCGACTAGCGTTTCCTGACACTGACACAGAGGAAAGGAACGGACAGTCACTGACACTGAATCAGTGCTTGATACACAACCCCAACGCTAGACCACGTAAAGGATTATGCCTATTTACACTATTATAATCGATACATACGTGCACATGTGATATCCACGTTGCTACATAACGTTCGTCACCGTTCACACTCCTAATAACACACGAGAAAAGATCTTTCACGAAATGCAGGTAAATTTTACTGAGGAAGATGGCGCTCGCGCTGCATCACGGGATGGGTTGTTGGTGTGAGGGTCAGCTTACTCGCGCCATCTGTAGTCAACAATTTCTGAAATTCACAAGTATCTCAGTGTAGGATATCTGTACAACTGTGGTTGGCTATCGTACTCAGAAACCGGCGTACTACCGTACTAATGTACATGTACATTACCGTAGTAATGTAAATGAGAATTTGGCTGCTCGCGTTTCTAGTCGCCGCCGCTAGTCAAGATTTTTTCGGCCGAACTTACGCGTTCAAAATAGGCAGGGGTATGCTCGGAAGATGTGCATGCTAAAAGCCTAGCTAAACGTTCCACTTCGGCCGCAGCATCCCGCCACAACTCTTTCCCTATGCTAATGTACATGGGAATGGCGCTCGCGTCGCTGTTTGCGGTTGCCAGCCAAGATTATTTTCTTCGGCCGAACTTACGCACTCAAAATAAGCAGGAGTAAGCTCGGGAGAGATATTTATGGTTATATCCGATATAACAAACACTTTAAGTCATGAAATGATATTACGAATTTAACGCAGAAAGTGCACAATGACGACTAAATTTATATGAAAATGTCTATTCCAATTTAAAATGTCTACTTTTCCTGGATTGACCTATAACGTAACATGTGGCAAAATGCATGTTCGCGCGTCCCAAGTTTATTAAAAAAATTAAAAATCTAAACTCGAACATAATTGAGTTTTAACTGTGATACGACAGGGCCGGTTCCAGGGCTGAGGCTAGACAGTATTTTTCCAGATTTAAAGGGCACTTCGCCCAAAAAGGGCACACCACCCCACAGTGAGCGCAAAATTTCGAAGGGCACTTTGAAATCTAGACCGTATTTCCCAATACGGCAAATACGGTCTGAATCCGCCCCTGTACGACGTCCCTATGTTATTTTCCCGAGTTTGTACGAAAACTGTAGCATATAGGATAAGACGAACGTTCGCATATGCCTATTACATACAAAAAGAAATAATATATATATATATATAATAGTGGAGACGATTATCCCACCTTCGGTTATCCGGTGTTCCGTTTTATCCGATATAGTCAATCCGCGTGCTATATATGTGTACTGTACGTAGAGTGTTGAACTGCCAGGTATTAGCCACTTATCCTATAGTACTACTACTTATTGCTATTCAGCTCAATATGACGTTATGCTTTGTCTCTGAGCGCATCATGTACCGTCATCGATATACGACGTAGGTTCGTTTGCGTAGCTGCGCTAGCGTAGTGATTTTTTTATACTGTACGTATATACTGCAATTATTTTAATTATTTATATAAAAATATCAATAACCAATTTTTAACCAATAACTAGCACGATAGTTCGTACTGCATTATTTTAAATAATAATTGTAGAATGGTTATAAACCAGATTTCATACTTTTACTACACTCCCATTTAATCTGTGCATTGTCTCCAATTTAATCACCTTATCTATTTATCGCATTATCCGATATTTTGTATGTGTATGCGCGCGCGCGCGTGTATGTATGCATGCATGCATGCATGCATGCATGCATGTATGTATGTATGTATGTATGTATGTATGTATGTATGTATGTATGTATGTATGTATGTATGTATGTATGTATGTATGTATGTATGTATGTATTTATGTATGTATGTATGTATGTATGTATGTATGTATGTATGTATGTATGTATGATTGTATGTGTGTGTGTGTGTGTATGTGTTTTTCGCCCCCATGGGTAAACTCTCCAGGTAACACCTTCCCTCACCCCGTGGTACACCCCCCAGTGGGCTACCCCATATCCCTACCCCACCACCCACCCCAGCGGGCGCACACTCCCCCTCCTTCATGACCACACTCGCCTCCCCCGGTAACACTCTCCCTCTGCTGTGCACCCTCTCTCCACTCCCATCGCACTGCCATCATGCTCAGCGCACCTAAAACACTGTCGCGGCGGAAATTCCAGTGCTGGCCCGTTCGAATTTGTTCTACGAAAATAACAAATTTTGCAAGCAAATGCGAGTTGATAAGTTCTGTGTGGACGAGAGTTAGCTAGCGAAGCAGCTCGGCAAGCTAATTTCGCTTGAACGTTCCATTCCGGGGGAAGGAGTCCTTTTCAGCAGGGACAACACTAGTTCACCGCGGAAGAGGATGCGGTGAAGCAGAATACCACATCGGCTCAGATGGCAGATCTAGCAACGCGCAGAGATAGGATCACTCATCGAAACGACTAAGGCGAAAAACAAAGAAGGTGTGGTGTACGTTTTCCTGACCGACCCTATTATTCCCAGGCGACCCTGAAACATTTAGTGTCATCTTCTTTAAAGTCAAAAAATAAATAAAAAGTAAAAAATACAAATAAAAAATAATATGATGGACAGTTCGCTGCTTCAAAACGCCAACGCAACATCCTGCGGACATGGTTCGGAAATAACAATATTTCAAGACAAATACATGTTTCCTACTTCTACTACACTCGATGTTCTTGTCGGCATGTAACGGTAACCACCACGTTTGTTTTGGCCTAACCGTTAAAGCTAGAGAGGGTGTGAACGTTGACAGAGGGTACGGTCCAGCCCCTGGTAGCTTTTGCTGATAGGATCACAACACCGCGGCACACAAACACAACACGTGCACGGGCCGATTTTAGTGAACCAGCAGTGACCAACCCAGAAATGTGCAGCAGCACAGTGCCTGATCAAGTGCAGAGACGTCCTGGAAACACTTAATTAGGCTCGAAGCACATAACGCGCTTGGGGAGAAGCATCCAACTAAGGGAGAAAGAGGAAAGCAGCATGTGGAGAATGAGAGGCTTCTGGAATGTATGCGGTGCGATGCTGCGCACTTGATACGGACTAAGAGCAGTGCTGATGAGTACGCTCAGGCCTTAAGGTTGACAGAGGCGCAGCATGCCACAATGCACATGACGCGCACAGATCAGAACTGTAGATGTAAAGGTGGGTGAATGAAGCTGTAGATGTATGAGGGGTGAATGAAGCTGTAGATGTATGAGGGGTGAATGAAGCTGTAGATGTATGAGGGGTGAATGAAGCTGTAGAGATGTATGAGGGGTGAATGAAGCTGTAGATGTATGAGGGGTGATGAAGCTGTGAGATGTACTGAGGGGGAAGAAGCTGCGTAGATTATTGATGGGGTGCATGAAGCTTGTAGATGTATGAGGGTGAATACGCTGGTAGATGTATGAGGTGAATGAAGCTGTAGATGTATGAAAGGGAGAAGCTGTAGATGTATCGAGGGGTGAATAAGCGTAGATGTATGAGGGGTGAATGAAGCTGAGCGGTATGAGGGTGATGACGCTGTAGAGTATGGAGGGGTGAATGAAGCTGTAGATGTATGAGGGGTGAATGAAGCTGTAGATGTATGAGGGGTGAATGAAGCTGTAGATGTATGAAGATGGGGAAGCTGCGCAGAGACGATGAAGCTGTCGGTAACCGATGTTTCGTAAACAACCGGCCCTCTGCTCTTGCGTGGCAACAATCTCGGAAAAACCCGCAGCTTCGAACGCGCCAGCAGGATACACGTAACAACCCATAGCAGACGGATCCGTCACAGCTTTGCTACATCTTACTATATATTTGCAGAATGTGTATGTAATGTTAAGTCGAAAGGCTCCGTCCGTGTTGATCCAATACGCAAATTCACAGAAGAGATCGTATGAATCCACGTGGAGGTACTTAAAACTATATTCGGTTGATCACGTAATAAAAGCTTAAAAAGGTATAACAACAAAAAGTAAAGATTGCCTGAAAATAGGGGGCGCTATATCTTTGCTGCTCATATATGTCGCATGCTTTTGCATTATGTTTCATCCAATGCACAGAGATTTTGTAAGCGCCAATAAGACGTAGACAAAAGCTGTAATAATGAAGTTAAATGTCAGTAAGCTATTTGCATAGTTTTCGATATGAGAGTACAAGTTGAATTGATCCGAGCAATATCGATCGGGGGCCGGTCGTCCATCCGTATTTAGATTTCGCGGCTATGACTGTACTGTGTCTTGACATCTCAAACAAAAAAAAAACATGTGCACAACTAAACTTCCGATACAACAACATTACACATAACCACCTGACTGATAACAGAACACAATGCACACAGTCCACTAAGCCGCGCGTTAGGCGGGGGTTCCAGCTAGTTTTACATAACTCGCGCAGACGCGTCTGCCCGCGTGTATAACCTGACAAGCGGCGCGACAGCACCGCCCATTGTGGTGTACGCTGAATATTTAAGGAATTGGATTCGCTATGGATTAGCCCATTGTAGATCGTGGATAAGCAATGTAGCAACTGACTTTAAGTCGTGGTACATGAGGATCTGCATCGGTTTACCTAAGAGACTATAGTATAACGCTGTGACTCAAACTTAATGATGAACAATCAGATTCATCACCACTCTGTACTGACAAAGACAGTGCAGGTTAGTGATATCAGAACCTCCTTAGCGCACACTTAAGCATATATGTCTGCGGTTCCTTACGCCACATAGATGTAGACGATCCTACATGTCTGAGTGCTAATCGATGTATCTGAACACCCTCAACTCCCGTACAAACATTATGCAGAGCAGTCAGACACCAAGAGCTAACACGTCACACACACGCACGCACGCACGCTCTGCATGTACGCACCAACTCACGAGGCAGGTAGTCACGACACGCATGCACGCACACGCGCGCACGACCACCACACACCCACACACACACACACACACAGTCACAGCACACACACACACTACGCACGCACGCACCTGCCACGCACCGCACGCACGGCACGCACCCGCACGCACCACGCAACGCACCACGCAGCGCACGCACGCACGGCACAGCACGCACGCACTGCAAAGCACGCACGACACACACGCACACACACACACACGCACACCCCACACCCACACAGCTAGAACAAAACACAACTGGAGTTTCTTGCCTACATAAATATTTTAAACACCCTCGCACGAGATTCCGGGCGAATGCTTTAGCGGGAGCTTAGGGCAGCGAGGAATAAGTCCCG